CCCCCCCCCCCACCCCCCCACCTCTCCGGCCCTCCCTGGCCCTTAAGGATCTGGGTGGATCTGCGTTTCCCTGGAGTGTCTGACTCACACCTCCCCCCAGGCTCTCGAAACTGAAATAGAAGGACTGAATGGCTGAGTCCACACCTCTGGCCAGCCTGGTGAACCCGGGATCAGAGCTCCAGGCAGGCCTCCTCCTGGCTCCCAGTCTGCCCAACACACCTCAGCCATACTGAGACTCAGGTATAGAGGCTCCTGTCCCCCAGATCACAATTCCCCCTTCCTCAGGGACTCAGGAATTCTACACCGACGGCGACAGCCCAAGGAAACCCCTAGCACTGATCGCCCCAAGGAAACCCCTAGCACTGATCGCCTCTCAAGGTATCCCACGCCCGCTCCCCAGTTCCTGACCTCTCCGGGTCCCAGGTAACCCGCGCTTCTAAGCCCCGCCCCGTGCGCGCCCCGGGCCGGTACCTACTTTGCCCCCAGGCCCGGCCCCAGCGGGCGGGCAGCAGCTGCAGGCCGAGCGCCAGAAGCAGCCCCAGGCCGGGGCTCGCCATGGGCCGGGCGACGGGCTGGTGGCACCGGGAACCGGGCGTCTCCTGCGCGCTGCTTCTACCGCATCTCGGGCCGGGGGTACCTGCGACCCGGCACCTGGGGCGGGAGAAAGAGAAAGGCCGGGGGTGGGGTGGGGGAGGGGGCTGGGCTCGGGCGCAGGCCCAGGGGAGGGGTGACCCGCCCAGGGCACCCCGGAGTCCTGCCCCGCCCCCGCCGCCAGAGGTCAGAGATTAAAGATTAACTCGGAGCGGCGCGTTCCCGGCCCGGGGAAAGGGAAGAGGAAAGTTGGGGGAAGGGGCGGCAGGCCAAGGCGAGCGTCCTACCTCCCTACCTGGCCCAGGCGTCTTCGACCTTGCTCCGGTGCCCGGTCCGAGTACCTGGCTCGAACCCTCGGTGCGTCGGTCGGTAGCTCGGTCGGACTCCTCCAGCTCCTCCCGTTCACGTGACCCGGAAAGTTTAGTCACTCACCTGGGAGAGGAGCGCACTTCCGGCTCGTGCACCTGAGCCCAGATGGGAGGGCGGAGCCAAACGGGGGTGGGGCCGCGCCAGGGACGCACCTGTAACGGGAACCCAATTCTACAACAGCGAGGAGTAAGTAGGGGCGGAAGCGCGCTAGGGTAAGAGGGACCTCCCACCTATGTTGCGGGCACACCTGTGGGAGACGTGTGCGTTGAGCCACACCTCTGGAGTGTAGACGAACGGAAGCATACCTGTGTGGGAAACGGCTGTGTAGAACACGCCTGCGTTGTAACACCTGACCGCGGCCGTCTGGGTTAGGGTACGTTTGTTTTGGAAAAGCATCTGCATGGCTCCCCGATGAAATGAACAACGCTTGTGTGAAAAATCCCTGCGTAGAAATGAATCGGAAAGAGCCGCACGAGACACGTCCGCGTTTAAGTGAACCTTATAGGACCCAGTGACACGGAAACGTGCCCATATGGGTGTATACTTAACTGCAACATGCCTTTGGGGGCAGGCGGGTGGAGGGGAGCTGTATGATGCATTCTTGAGTGGATTTCTGTTGGGAAACATACCTGTGACATGAAGGGTATAGGCTGTATGGGGAGTATCTGCATAGAATTGAGATCAAGTGAGAAAAAGACCTGAGAACATCTGCATGAGACAAGTCATATTAAAGCAGATGGCGGGGCGGGGCGGGGGGGGGGGGGGGCGCGGCGGGACAAAGGCTTCTGTGTATTGAGGCCCACCTGCTAGGGATGTTTTCCGTGAGAAAACACCTGTTGGGGGCATTTCTGTGGGGAAACATCTGTATTCCCCATGTTGAAGGGCACCTGCAAGGACCACCTAGGAAGAAAATATCTGTGAGGGGACCTTCAAGAAGAGGCTCCTTTGTCTGGGACGCACCTATTTGAGCACTGGCTGGGCAGGACTAAATGGGTCCTCATGGCTGTATTTTGGGATAAAGGACGATGATGATAAGACCACCACCTCCTGGGAACTCTAGGGTGAAGAGTAGCGGCTAAGGGGAAATTAATCACTTTTAGAGTAGAGAGCGATGGGTAAGAATTCCAGGTCTAGTTAAATCCCTGCTTTGCCCTGTAGTGGGCATGTGGACTGGGGAGAGCAGTTTAACCTCTGTTTCCTCATCTGTGAAGTGGGAAAGTCAGTCCCACCCACCTACCTTATAGAGTTTTGGCGAGGACGACGCGAGAGGTGAGTAAAAAGGCCTTGGGTTTGTGCAACGCCGTGAGTCAATGTTAGCTATTATTATTTTTCGCCAATGTGTTTCTGGCCGCCCCTCCCCCTAATGGTGACTCGAGAAACTGCGCCCAAAAGTAGTGGGAGGGACTTTCGGCAGGTGCAGCGAGCGCGACAGGCTGACGCCGCGCCTCCAGCGTTCGGCTTCCCGGTCTCCATCGGCACTCGAGCCTGGGATACTGAGAGGCCCAGGTTGGTCTGGAGAGAGCAGTCAGCCAAGCGACCGGATCCTGCCGCGGCCCCTTTAAGACGGCCAGGCCAGCCAGAAGTCGCGGGGGCCCAAGACTGCACCAGGTCCGCGCGGAAGCCCCGCCCAGGTGGGGCGGGCGGGCGCAGCTCCAGCAGTTCTGGCCAATAGGAAACCGACTCTGCAGCCGCGCCGCCAGTTGATCTTCCGTTTCCCAGTCTAAGTGGGACATAGAAAGGAGGCTCGCGGGAGGGATGTAAAGCTTGCGGGAGAAAGCACGGCCTCTCGATTTTCTGTTTCTGCGGCCGAGTGGGGGATGTGAAATGAGCGGGCGGGCAGATGGAGGGCTGGATGGCCTCGGGTTGGTTCTTGAGCACGTCTGGGTTGAAAACGAGTACTTTGGCGCCTAAAGAGGATTAGTAGGGGAGGGAGGTCAAGTGGAAAGGGATTACGAAACCAAATCCCTGATATCTCTCTACCTCGCCCCTTGGGGCAGAGGGTAAACTGAGGCACGCAAGGCAGAACTCTGAAAGCAGAATTGAGACCATTGATCTCTCCAGCCCCTCTCCCCAGAATGAACCCTGGCGCTTCCTAGGCTGTGCAATATCAGAGCATCCCCGACACACCGCCCCACACCCGCAGCTCCGCCTCCGGCCCCCTCCCCCCCATGCGGGTCGGGGGAGGAGACGCCAATTCCGGCGCGGGCGGCGACGGTTAGCAGTCACCGGCTCCTGCAAGTGCCAGAGCCAGGCGGGCAGCGCGGAGGCTGCGGTGGCCGTGGCCGCGGAGCTGGCCCTGCGGGGCCCCGGGGGGGAGGGGGAGCCGCGAAGCCCCCGCTGAGGCCGCCGCTGCCGGGCCTCCCCTCCCCCCCGGGCGCCATGCGGGGGGGCCCGGGCGATGCGGAGCGGCGACAGCGCTGGGGTCGCCTCTTCGAGGAGCTGGATAGGAACAAGGACGGCCGCGTGGACGTGCACGAGTTGCGCCAGGGACTGGCTCGGCTGGGCGGGGGCGACCCGAACCGCGACACCCAACAGGTATCCCCGCGGGACCCCAGCCTGGCGCGCGGCGCTCGGGCCCGGCCGGCGCCCGGTAACCCGAGCCCCTGAATGGAGCGCCGCCGCTGCCTGGGAGTGCCTGTGGCTGCACTCCAGGGCCGGTGCCCAGCCTGAGCGTCTCTGCCCCACTACCCCTGCCCACCGTGTCTGGGCCTAACGGGTTCGCCCCAGACCGAGCCAAGGAGGCCCCAGGCCTGCAGTTCGGCTGCCAGCACCCGGTCCCCACCCCCGTCGCCGGGGCTTCGCGGGTGGGGGATGGCTGCCAGCGAATGGAGCCCGTCCGCTTTCCTGCCCACTGCCTTGGACACACCCTCCTCTGAACTCTCCACCCGTCCCAAGACCTACCCTGCTCCCGCCTCAGGAGACACACCCTTCCCATCCGCCCTCCCCTCCTCTGGGCACCCACTGCCCCCCACCCCACCCCCAGCAAGCCGCCCAGCCTCTCAATGTTTACATTTCCCGACCTGCCCATTCCAATAAGCCTGGCTTAATGCCCCAGGCTATCCCAGCCGGGGATCCTGCCCGCCAACACCCTTAGCTGGGGGTGTAGGAAAGCAGGAACCTGCCCCCAGACCTATGCAGGTGTCCCTGACACCTGTAGCCCCAGCTGCCACTGGAGTGTCTCCACAGCATCTTGAGGCCTCCAGTACAAGCCTCCGCTTCCCAGGCGGGAGGACAGAGGCCCGGTGGGCTCTCAGCTTGGATCTACCCCACATTGCCCAGAGCTGTCTCTAACGGGAGCTCCCGGAACAGCCATATGGACAGGTTTTTGGGTTGTTCTTGTTTTTTTAAGAGACAGCTGGGAGGACAGGCTTTCAGAGACAAGAGCCCAAGGTTACCTACCACTTCCCAGCTCTGTAACCTTGAAAAAGTTACTCGACCTTGGAGAGCCTCAGTTTGTTTGCCAGGGAAACCGGACAACTGCTTTCCACCCCGCCGCTCAACTGTGGCTTGGGCATGTTGCTGAGAAGTGAGCCGGCGCCTTCCCCTGCTTTAGGTTCGGGGGGGGGGGGGGGGCTGTTTTCCGGGCCATGAGCTTGCCGTGCCCCCTGCAGATGGGGAGCGGCCATCTGGAGCTCCCTCATCCCTCCCCCCTGCCAGGGCAGTTCCCCTGAGGGTGACACTGACCCACACGGTGGGCTGGACCTGGAGGAGTTTAGCCGCTACCTGCAGGAGCGAGAACAACGCCTGCTGCTTCTGTTCCACAGCCTGGACCGGAATCAGGATGGTAAGGCCCAGGGATGGGCTGCAGGGGCCCTGGAGACACCAACGGGGCTAGAACTGGCAGTGCTAGGAGGAGGGGGGAGGGCCACTTCTCCCTGATGACTCACGGGCTATTTTGGGAGCTCTCCTCACCCCCCAGCTAGGTGGTTGGGCCCATGGGCCCATCCTACCTTCTCTCCCTTCTGGGATGCGACCCCTGTTAGTACCCTTATGTTTCTAAAGGACAAAGATGCCCCACATTGCTTCTGGATTCCCTAGGAGGCGTAGGCACCCCCCATCCTTCTGGATCCCTAATATTGCCTCTCAATCTCCTATGGCATAAGGACCCTCATAGTTGTCCTGGATTCATTCTTTCATTCATTCATGGAACAGAGGAACCCACCCCCCAACATTTCTCAGTTCTACCTCTCTGATCCCAATGGGTCAGTGACACCCCACCCCACCCCACCCTGCTGCAAATCTCACCCTGGGTTCCTGGATCCTCTGGTCTTGCTAGACCATCCCATTCTGAGCTGTACTGCACCTGGGCTCCAGGGTTTCCCCGCCCCCCGCCCCCCCCCCCCACACACACCCTTTTCTACCTCTGGCCCCCTCCCAGGTCATATTGATGTGTCTGAGATCCAGCAAAGTTTCCGAGCTCTGGGTATTTCCATCTCTCTGGAGCAAGCAGAGAAAATTCTGCACAGGTGAGTAGCTGGGGTTCCAGAATCACAGGTAACTCAGGTCCCCGGGACCCCTCGGCCCCCTTGAACCTCTAGGCCCCAGGCCCAATCCCAGGGCAGGTGGAGCTGAGAGGTGGGCTCGGGAGTCAGGCAAATCCTGGGCCACTCTCTTCACTTCTCTGAGCCTCAGTTTTCCCCTTCGCAAAATGGCCCGCTCTCGGTGCACAGGGAGTCAGTCTACCCCCAAACCAACCGAACCCCATCCGACCCCCTCCAGCCCCAGCATTGATTCTGTCCCACCTTGCCCCACATCCCCAGCATGGACCGTGACGGCACAATGACCATCGACTGGCAGGAGTGGCGCGACCACTTCCTGTTGCATTCGCTGGAGAATGTGGAGGATGTAGTCTATTTCTGGAAACATTCGACGGTGAGGTGGGGGCAGCTTTCCCAGCTTGGTGGCCGGGCCTTACTCTGGTTTCCCCAGGGCATGGAGGGGCTGGGTCAGGAGCCTTGAGAAGGAGGAGCTGCTGGGAACGGTCAAGGGATGAGAAACTCCAGTCCTCTCTTCCTCCGATCAGTGCTCAGGGGACTAGGGACCCACTGCGGGGAGGTCTGGAGCCCTTCAGACCTGACTTTGGGGCAATGGGGGCAGACTGTGGGAGGTGGGAGCACAGGGAAGGAAGCGCTCACCAGGTGGGTCACCCAGTCCCCAGCTTCCACCCACAGCTCTCCTTCTACCGGTTTCTGTTTGCCTCAGTAAATGGTTCTATTGCCGAAGGGACTCACAAGAAAGCCACCTTCTTTGGAGGGTTCATTGCGATCCACTGGAAGGTGGGAGAGGAAGCGCTCTAGATTGCCAGCTTCTAGTTGGGAATCTCTGAGTGATGCTTCCAGTAGGATCTGATGGCATCTGGAGGGGAATCCACACGTGAGATCTGGGGAGATCCTCTTGGGAGATCCAGAGATTCCCACCCTGGGGATCCATGAGGGGGCTTGGTTGGGATGTCTATAAGTGGATTCTAGGGGAGGGGTGATCCCTGGGGGACAGATTCTCTGTGGGATCTCTTGAGGCCCTGGGAGGGATCCACTAGTCTCCTTATGTGGCAGGTCCCTGATGGGATCTCATGTGGCCCTGGAGGGATCTTGTGGAATCCTTATGTGGGAGATCCTTGGGTGGGATCCCTCAAAGGGGTCTGATTGGCTCTGGGAGGAATCTTTATGTGTAGATGCTTGAGTAGATTCCTTTGCTGGGATCTGGTGGAGGTGCCCAGGAGAGGTGTTAGGATCCTGTGTGGGATCAGGCTGGATGTTTTGGTAGGATCTGGTAGGGGTCCAAGAGGGATCGCCTGGGCTCTCCAAGTGCGATGCACTGGCAGGCTCTCTGGGTGTCCTGGGATTCGTGAGGGAGTTACCGTTTAGGGCTGAGTCGCATCTCCCTGCCCCCTGGCGTGACAGCCCAGTCCCTGCGTCCTTAGGTCTTGGACATCGGCGAGTGCCTGACTGTTCCTGATGAGTTTTCAGAGCAGGAGAAGCTGAGCGGCATGTGGTGGAAGCAGCTGGTGGCGGGTGCGGTGGCAGGCGCTGTGTCGCGGACGGGCACAGCCCCTCTGGACCGCCTCAAGGTCTTCATGCAGGTGAGGGGCCCTGGAAAGAGCCCCCCTCCCCCGTCCCAGGCCTGGGGCCCCCAGAAGGGGACCGCAAAGCCACCTTGTCTCCCCACGTAGGTCCACGCCTCCAAGACCAACAAGCTGAACATCCTGGGGGGCCTAAAGAACATGATCCGAGAGGGGGGCATGCGCTCCCTGTGGCGTGGGAATGGGATTAACGTGCTTAAGATCGCGCCAGAGTCGGCTATCAAGTTCATGGCCTATGAGCAGGTGGGGGCAGGCGTGAGAGACCTCAGCCAGACGCGAGGGCTAGTGGGATTGGCCTGGGGGTGGGGGTGGGGAGGGGTGTCCGCAGGACCCCGGGAGTGGGCATCGGCTCCCCTGTGTGGTGCCCACAGCAGGAGGACCTGAGATCCTGCCCACCTCTCCCACCTCCAGATCAAGCAGGCCATTCGAGGGCAGCAGGAGTCACTGCACGTGCAAGAGCGCTTTGTGGCCGGCTCCCTCGCTGGCGCCACAGCCCAAACCATCATTTACCCCATGGAGGTGAGAAGGAGGGACCATGGGAGAGGCCCCGTGGCAGGGTGGGAGGCTCGCAATAACCATGTCACTCTGCGGTGTGGTAGACGTTTTGGAAGTATAGCTTTGCCTCTCCCGGATTCGGACTGTAGCTCATTAGAGAAATGTTGTTTCATGGGTAGTCTGTGCGGGCATCGGCAACTGAGATGTGTCTCTTGGGGATGGTGGCGTTGGTCATAACCGTTTAGGCAGCAGCCGTGGGTTCCAGCCGCTCACAGTCACGCCTCTTCTAAGGATACTGATTTCCAGGATGTTTGTTCCCAGGGGAATCATTTCTAGATGAAACTGTTTTCAGAGAAATCGTTTCAGGTTTCAGGTTGTGCAGTGTATCAGGATTGCAGTGTATCATGGAAAACTCAAATCACATAAATGAAGTCTGAGGTAAGCAGTTCAGGGCAGGTATGGTGAGTTCAAAGTGTTAGAGACCCAAGTTCCTTCCCTCTATCTTCTTCCAGCACTTCAGAATGTAGCACCCACCTCATGGGCCAAAGTGACTGCTTGTGCTCCAGTCATCACATCCATATTGCAGTCAAGAAGGAAGAATAGACAAAGGAAAGAACACCTCCCTGCCTTTAAGGATACTTTCTGAGAGTCACACATACCTGTTTTCCTGCTGTTTCGTTAGCTAGGACTTAGTCACATGGCCATACATCTAGGGAAAATGAGAAATGTAGTCTGTATTTCTAGTGGCTCTGTGCTTGCTGAAAATTATAGCTTCTATTATTAAGGGGGAAAGGGAACAAGATATTGGGAGACAGAAGTGGCCATCATATGTAACTCTGAGAGGTGTCAACATTTTTAGGTATAGGGATTTGGGGATGACGGAAGATTCTAGAGTAAGTGGTTTGTTAAATTCCAGTATTGCCAGGGTACATCCTTCCAGAAGTAGCTATTTCTACTTGTCTTCGTTCCTGGATGTGGTGTGTCTGGAGGCAGTTTTTCCAGGGATAACCGGGTTCTCTCCAGGTGCTGAAGACGCGGCTGACCTTGCGCCGGACGGGCCAGTACAAGGGGCTGCTGGACTGTGCATGGCAGATCCTGGAGCGAGAGGGGCCCCGAGCCTTCTACCGAGGCTACCTGCCCAACGTGCTGGGCATCATCCCCTACGCAGGCATCGACCTGGCCGTCTATGAGGTCTGTGGGTAGCCCGCCCCTCCCTCCTTTTTTCTCCCCTCTGAGATTTGCCCACGGGACACCGTCTTCCCATGGGCCAACTCAGTCGACCTCCAAAACTAGGGAGAAGCGCCATGGGCCCTGGGGAACCCCTTCAGCCAGCGGACTCCCGACTCTTGCATTTACCACTGTGAGAATTCTCATCACTTCCCTTCACAGTTCAGCCTTCCTGGGTCTCGGGACATGGGAAGTTCAGGGACCACGGTAGCTCACAGACTCACGGGAGCAGGTGAAGATGAGCTTGAAAGATGCCCACCTCCCCAAAGCACGTATCGGACCCCGCCGATGCCTTCTTCAGGGCCTGCCCGTTTCGGCATCGGCTGTCATCGTAAAAACTACACATCTCAGCACCTTTTTCAAGAGAGGCAGGAACAGGGAGTTTTTGGTTTTTGCTTTTTCTCTTCCAGAGACCTTGTTCATTGCTTTTTACCTTCTTCTGGTGGGATCACCAGGTTCCTCAGTAGCACAGCCCCAGTTGTCCCCAGGCATCCCCCCGAAGTCTTTGTATTTGGGACAAGGCCAGCCTCACAGGCAGGTGACCAGGGCGGTTGCCAAGGGCCCCATGTTCAGAGGGCCCTGCCCTTGGTTTAATGCTCTGCTGTTGCTGTCTTGAAATTCCTAATCAGCTTTGGACAAGGGACCTCACATATTTTTAATATGCTTTGGACCTTGCGAATTATGTGGTTGGTCCTGACCTACAACACTCCACACCTGCCATCCATACCTGATGTCCCCAGCACCCAGCATCTATGCAGCCAAATGAGACAAGGCCATCAGTCATTCGCTCACCTGTTTGTTGATTCATTCATCCATTCATTTATTCACTGGTTCACTCAGCAACTACTTACTAAACATCCAAAAGCACTGGGCATTGTGCTGATTGATGCAGATACAGCATTAAATAACACCATCTTTGCTTTCCTGGGGCACCCACTCCAGCGAACAAGGAAGTCAGCCAACCAGCGCACAAGTAGTTTCAGATCCCGCTAAGTTCTCAGAAGATGATAAAACAGGATGTGTAATTGAAAGTAACAGTGGGCAGGGGGTGGAGGGGTCTAGGCTTGCCTCTGAGAGGTGATGTGGGAGGGAGTGTGAACAAGGCAGAGAGTGTAGGTCCAGAGGCAGGCCTGTGGGAGGAATGGAAGTCTTGAGTGGCTTGAAGGAACCAGAGATTCAGCAAGAGCTCAATGACATGGCTGGTTTTTCCTAAGTGCAAGACAAAGCCATTGAGGGCTGTGTGCAGAAATGAGACCTAACTTTATTTGATCCATTCTTCACCAGAAAAAGGGGGCTGGGAGGTCTAAGGAGTTTGAGAAGCGTTGTGCCCTCTTGGAGTTTCAAACTCTTTATTAGTCCTTTAAAGGCTCTGACAAGTCTACAGAGCAGTGATTTCACTGTTTGGGGTTTTTTTTTTGTTTGTTTGTTTTGTTTTGTTCTTTAGCCCAGTGCGGGCCATGCCTATGCAGTCATCAGAACTTCTTTTCAACAGAACAGCTCTTGAAACACTCATTAAACACCAAGTTGGCAAATGCTGCTCCAGAATTGCAAAGGCAATAATGGTGAACAGTTGCTGCCAATGTGCTCACGCCATGCTCCGGCCAGACATCACTAATCTATCTATCACAGCCCCGTGGCCAGACATCACGAATCTATCTATCACAGCCCGGAGGCCCTCTCAACACACTTCCGGGCAGCCATTCCCAAGGGGTTAGAATTGACATAGGAAATGAAACTGAGGAGCCATCCCAGTCCCAGAGTATGAAAGAAGGTTCTCGCAGAGGCTCCAATAAGGGATTGGCTGCCCCTAAAGACAGAGCACCCCACTCTGGACTCAGGTGTGCCTCTGAATGTTGATTCCCACCTGTCTCTTGTGGCTCTGGGTAAGCAGCTTCCCTGGATCCTCAGTTTTGCATCGATTAAATGGAGACGACAGTGGTATTTGTCTTAGTTTGAGGTCTTGCAGAAGCAGGGATGTGACAGCAAGTAGTTTGGCGGGAAGGTAAGGCGACCAAAACAAGGAGCATTAGCTCCCTAGGGCCGCCTAACCTCAAACTGGGAGGCAACAGACATTTATCGTCACAGCTCTGGAGGTCGGAGTCTAACCTCGACTCAGCAGGGCCATGCTCCCTCTGAAAGCTTAGAGGGAAATCCTTCGTTGCTTCTTCCAGCTTCCGGTGGTGGCCGGCAGTCCTTGCCGCTTCTCTGCTTGTAGACCCATCCATCCGATCTCGGCCTCTGTCACCGTGTGGCTGTCTTCCCCCCGGCTACGCGTCTCCATCTCTGTGTCTCCTCTTCTTATAAGGCCATCAGTCATTTTGACTATGGGGCCACCCTACTCCAGGATGGCCTCACCCCAACCCATCACACCTGCAAAGACTCTCTTTGCAAACAAGGTCACAATCTGAGATCCTGGGGGTTAGGACTCCAACATATCTTTTGGGAGGACATAATTGGGCCTGTTAGCAAGCAAGCTATCATGGTGGGCAGGTGGAGCTCAATCCTGGCGGGGGGCTCTGCAGGCACCTGCATAGAACACGCCCCAGCAGAGACGCAAGGGAGTTGGGGTATTGATACACCCAGTCAGTTGTCTGAAGCTCGCTTCTGGGGGTGCTGGTTCCCCAGCACTTCCCGCCTATTCCTGGGTGCTCAGCACAGCCTTGCCCGGGTCCGGTGAGAGTCCTCGGGCAGAACCGTGGATACTGGCAGCTGGGAGTCAACAGATTTGGGTCGAAATGGTAAGGGATAAGAACGGGGTGTCCACCTTGGCGAGGGTGTTAGTTTTCTATGGCTGCTGAATCAAATGACCACAGACTTAGTGGTTTAAAACAGTGCACGTTTATGACCGTGCTTTTTTTTTTTTAATTAAAAAACATGTTTTAAGTTTACTTATTTATTTTGAGAGAGACAGAGAGAGAACACAAGCAGGGGAGAGGGACAGAGGATCCAAAGCAGGCTATGAGTTGTCAGCACAGAGCCCGACGCGGGGCTCGAACTCACAAACCGTGAGATCGTGACCTGAGCCGAAGTCGGACGCTCCACCGACTGGGCCACCCAGATGCCCCTGCTCTCTCATAAGGAGTCTCATGATGATACTGGACCTACCTGGATATTCTAGCATCGTGCCCCCTTAACTTAATCACATCTGCAAAGTCGCTCCTGCCACGGGAGGTACCATATTCCCAGGTTCCAGGGACAAGGGCATGGACAGTAGGGGCAGGGGCCATCCTTCCACATACCATAGAAGGTGAGGACTGAGTGGCAGGGTGCAGGTACAGTGCTGTGGGGCACCTAGGAGGCACCGCTAGGCTAGTACCCGCTGCCGTCGGCGGGGGGGGGGGGGGGGGGGCGGAGGCCGCCCCCCCCCGGGGGGGCCGCGGCCCCGGCGGGGGGGGGGGCGGGCCCCCCCCCCGCTGCGGAAGCCAGCCAGCAGGGGGTCTGCGGTGTTGCCAGTTCCAATCCAATCCCGCTCCCTTCTCTGCCCCTGCCAGACATTGAAGAACCGATGGCTTCAGCAGTACAGCCACGACTCGGCCGACCCAGGCATCCTCGTGCTCCTGGCCTGTGGCACCGTCTCCAGCACCTGCGGCCAGATAGCCAGTTACCCCCTGGCCCTGGTCCGGACCCGCATGCAGGCCCAAGGTGAGGCCTGGGCGGGAGGATAGGGCGGGGTGAGCCTCACACCTTGGGCCCCTCCCCCTCATCCCCAGCTCCTGCGGTCCCCGGGTGGGCGGAGGGATCTTCCTGGACTTGGATGGCCTTCACTAAAGTCCCTACCTTTCTCTGGGCCTTAGTGTACCCATCTGTGACACTGGAACAGGGGCCCTTCAGCCGAAGGAGGAGAGCAGGTGCAGCGGTTCCTGGAAGAGTGCCCTAGCAATCTTAGCGGGGAGGGCTGCTCGATTGAGCTCCAATTTGCAAGGCTGGATTACGGGCAGGGGGGAAGCTCAGGTCAAGGAGGGGTGGGGCCAGGCTAGTTATGGGTGTTTTGTTTTCCTCTGTAGTTTTCTTTCAGGAGTTTCTCCCCCCAACACACACACACACACACACACACACACACACACACTCCTGGATCTGTTTGGGGAGTTTCCTTGGGAATTTTAGCTTTTGTATTTTGTGATTTTTCTCTGGGGGTGTATCAGTGCATAAGCCTGGGTTCTCACCCTCTGAGAGCTCCCAGGCTGGAAGGGAAGCAAGATGCTGAATAAATCGTTTCACACTTCAGTATGGACTTAGGGTTGAGCAAAGGGGAAGGGAAAGAGCCACACTTAGACTGGGGTACCCAGGAGGGCTCCCCTAAAGAGCCTGCTTTGGAATGGAGGCTGGAAGGCAGAGTGAGAGTCAGCTGGGAGAAGAGGCAAGGAGATGAGTTCCAGGAAGGGGAAAACGCCTGTGCCCTCCCCCACCACACACACACATACCCCTTCTCTGTTTCTAATCGTCCCCCAACTCGGGCCCTCGAGATCCGGGTGGAAAGGTGAACAGCCATCTCTAGAGTGGTAGGTCCCACTGCTAATCTAACCCCCTCCCTCCTGCTGCAGCGGCCAAAAGCCCAGTCCTGGGAGTAGGAGGGGGCAGTGAGAGGGGCCCTTTGGCCTTACCTGGCCTCCCCACCCCTCCCAGCCTCCATCGAGGGCGCCCCCCAGCTCTCCATGCTGGGTCTGTTCCGTCACATCCTGTCCCAAGATGGCGTGTGGGGCCTCTACCGGGGCATTGCCCCCAACTTCATGAAGGTTATCCCGGCTGTGAGCATCTCCTATGTGGTCTACGAGAACATGAAGCAGGCCCTGGGGGTCACGTCCAGGTGAGGGACCCAGAGCCTGCCCCACCCCAATCATGGGGCCCCCCCCCCCCACACACACACACACCTCAGCCACTGGAGACTGGTGGCCCAGCCAATGGACCCCAGGGCCCCCGCACCAAATCACAGGATCCCTACACCTAATCCACTGGGTCCTGGGCCTCCATGTCTTAACCAGGGGATCCCCTACAACCCAACTAATGGATCCTGGTGACCCAACCACAGGACCACATCCCGCCATATCTAAACACCCAGACCCCAGCTCCCTCAGGCCCCAGATCCAGCACCGGGTCCTAGATCCCCAAACCCGCTGGCGGATCCCAGATCCCCATGCTTCCAGCCCTGGATCTCCAAGCTCAGCCACTGGATTCTGGATATCAAGAAGCCCCAGCCACTGGATCCCAGATCCCCTCACCCCAGCTACTGGATTCCCGAATTCCTTTGCCGTGACACTGAGTCCCGGATCCCTCCGCTTTGACTACTGGATTCCATACATTTCAACCACTACACCCTCAACCCCCAACCACCGGATCTCGGATTCCCAAGCCCTGACCGGCTGGATCCTGGCTTCTAAATCCACAATGTGAGAGCCCAACGGCAGAGCGCGTGGGTCCCAGCGACTGCAGCTGTTGGGCCCCAACCCCTTCACCACAGGCACTGGATGCTGAAACCTCACCCATAGGAAGGAGACCCGACCCTTCCAAGCACTGGATCCCAGCCCCTTAACCCCTGGATTCTGACCGGAATCCTCCCAAGGCACTGGATCCTGAGTGCTCAGACTCTGAGCCTAGATAGATCCCAATAGGCCAATCACAGCATCCTGGACCCCACACGCCGCCGTCCCAGACACACCACAGAGCCCAGGGCCCTCCCCACTCCCCGTGACACAAAGCCCATGGTCTAAGGAGCCTGCGGGAAGCCCGGGTCCTGGCCTCCTTCTTGGGACTTGTCCAAAGTCCTGAGCCATCTAAAAGCTGGCAGCACAGGAAGGAGAGGTCCCTCCCACACCCTAGACAGAGGCTGGACACCCCCACCACCTACCCAGCATGGCTATGCCTCTGGCCCCTGGGGAAACTGCTACCCCGAAATGCTCTGCAATGTCCTCCGTCCCCTTCCCACCTTTAGGCTAACGATAACCCCCAGTCACTCTTCCTTGGGGGCTGGCAAGGGGGCAGTCTGAGGCTGGGGACACATTAAGGGGACCCCCCCCCAAACCCACCCTAGCACTGCCAGCCTCTCCCCAGGCTTCAGGGTTGGGAGCCAGGAGGAAGTCTACCCGGACTAGCCTTCCCTGGAGCCCAGCATCTGCTTTTGCAAAACGAACAGGCCAAATCCCCAAACTCAGTCTACGTCTATTTTTCTACCAGAGAGGAGCAGACATTCCTTCCCCCTCAAATAACCCAAGCCCCCCCCCCCAGCACCCCCCACTACCCTGTACATTCTGCACTTTATAGTTGGATTCTGAGCTTAGCATAACTGGGGACCCCCTCCCTTCATTCCTCCCAAGTCTTTGGGGAACCCCATTAGAGGACTGCAAAAGAGGAGCTGTGTTGTTTCAGGGGGCTGGAGGACCCCCCCCCCCCCACCCCACCCCACCAAAACCGTGTCTCACCTCCCCCCCTGTGTGTGTTTTTTCCAAGAAAAAAAAAAAAGGAACAATTTTTTAAGCTTTTTCGTGGGGTTTTTTGCTAAAAGGGGGGGGGGGGGAACCGCCTCCAACTACCCAGCAGGGGAGGGACATGGGCCGTCCTCCGTCGCACGCAGTTCCGGGAGACCAGGAAGTGACTCCCTCTTTAAGCCTCAGTTTCCATAGCTGTAAAGTGGGGGCAGTGAGAAATCCACATTCATGAGCACTTTGGATTTTTCCAGTACTCTAATTACACAAGGGTATTTGTCTGCCCAGGGCTGTAAATTACCACCAACTGGGGCCTTAAAATGGCAAATGCTTTAGATTGAAATATTTTTTTTATTGTGGTAAAATACACGTAAAATTTACCATCTTAACCATTTTTTTAAATATGTGTTTGTTCTGAGAGAAAGAGAGAGAGAGAGAATCCCAAGCTGGCTCAGTGCTGTCAGTGGAGAACTGGACGCACGGCTCGAACTCACAAACCCCAAGATCATGACCTGAGCCGAAATCGAGTCAGAGGCTCAACTGAGTTGGTGCCCCTCATCCTAACCAGTTTGAAGTATACAGCTCAGTCAAGCACATTACATGGTTGTGCAGCCACCCCCACAACCCATCTCCAGAACTTTCCATCTCCCCAGACTGAGACCCCGTCCCCATGAAGCACTGACTCCCCACCCCTGGCTCCCACCATCCCCTCTCTGTTTCTGTGGACAGGGCTCCTCTAGGGACCTCCTGTGAGGGAGGTCATGAAGTCCTTTTGTGACTGGCTTTTCTCACTGAGCACAACGTCCTCAGGGTCCATCCACGATGTGACAGGTGCCGGGATGTCCTTCCTTTTTAAGGCTGGACACTATTTCGTTGTATGGATGGACCACATCCTGTTTACCCTTCATCCAACGAGAGACACTGGGTTGCTTCCATTTTGGGCTATATCGTGAATAAGAAACAACAGGAATTTATTGTCTGCCCCGTTCTGAAGTCTAGAAGTCTGAAATCAGAGGGTCAGGAGGGCCATGATCCCTCTGAAGAGACTTTAGGGGAGGATCCTTCTTGCCTCTTCCAGCTTTTGTCAGTCGCTGGCACTGTTCCTCAGCCTGTAGACTCAGTCCAATTTCTGCCTGTCTTTAAGTGACCAAACATGGGGCACCTGGGTGGCTCAATCGGTTAAGAGTCCAACTTCGGCTCGGATCGTGAGTTCGAGCCCCGCGTCAGGCTCTGTGCTGACAGCTCACGGCCTGGAGCCTGACTGGGATTCTGTGTCTCCCTCTCTCTCTGGCCCTCCCCCACTTGCACTCTGTCCCTGTCTCTCAAAAATAAACATTAAAAAAAATTTTTAATTACCAACCTTTTTCCTATGTGGACCATGATAGTCACCCTCCAAGATGTTCCCAGGGTGCCTGGGTGGCTCAGTCATTTAAGCATCCAACTTCAGCTCAGGTCATGATCTCGCAGTCCATGAGTTCGAGCCCCACGTCGGGCTCTGTGCTGACAGCCCGGAGCCTGGAGCCTGCTTCGGATTCTGTGTCTCCCTCTCTCTCTGCCCCTCCCCCGCTCACGCTCTGTCTTTGTCTCTCAAAAATGAATATACGTTAAAAAAAAAAAAGGAAAAACAAAAAACAAGCAAACCAAAAAAACCAAGATGTTCCCCAAGGATCTCTTCCTCCTAGAACTCACATTCTTGGGTAGTACCCTCTCTCACTGAACCAAGGAGAGTCTGTATGACCAAGAGGATCCAACAGCAGTGATAGTATGTTACTACCAAGAAGAGATTATAAAAGGCACTGCAGATAACCATCTTCTCTGTGTTTTAAGCTGCTACAGTTGGGGTACTTTGTCATGCAGCTGTAGCTAACCGATACACGTACACATACATAGACATGATTTTCCACACACTCAACTAAGAAATGAAACCTGGCTATGTTGTACTTTTACTTCCTTTAAATTATGTCCTGAGGATCAATGCCCAGAAGCAGGATCGCTGGGCCAAAGGCTAGGACTGTTTCAGGATCATGCCACCAGAAAACTCGTATGCGATAGACGCAGCCACCAACAAAGAATGAGCATTACTAGTTTTACTTCAGTCACACCAGCATCGAGTATTACCACTTTGATTTGATTGAATCGGGTCCGTTAACGTCTGTTTTCTTGTTCATGTTCTTGCATCCCATTACGCTGGTTGGGACTTAGGAGGCCCTGCTGATATGCAGTGTGACACCAGAAAGACTGCTTTTTCTCTTTCTATGTCTCCCCAAAATAAGAGGTGCTTCAACTAACATCTTTAGAGGGAAAAGAACTTACATTTATTGAGCAAGTGTGCTAAGCTCTTGGATGTGTTATCTTCTTCACCTATTCACCATCTACTTGCCGGACCCTTACTTGGTGCCAGACCCAGTTTTGGACATGGGACACGGAAGTGAGTGAAACAGACAACCACCATTGCTCTCGTAGACCCCACATTCCAGTGGGGAGCGACAAACAATGATAACACACGTGAGTGAATATGTAGCCATGTGGGAAACAAAGGTGCTACAGATACCAACAAAGGAGGGAAGGGGGATATGAAATCCTACAGGGCAGAGTTTAAATTTTAAATAGGGTGGTCAGAGGCAGCATCAGGGAGAAGGAGATGTTTGCATAAGGATTTAAAGACAGCGAGGGAGGCAGCATGGCGATGTCTAGGAAAACAGCATTCTAGGCAGAGAAGAGAGCCAGTGCAAGGGCCCTGGGGCAGCACCATGCCTGGCGTGTTGGAGGAAGAGGAAGGAGGCCCGTGGGGCTGAAGCAGAGTGGGCAAGGGGGAAAGAGGGAGGGAGGGAGGGAGGGCAGAGGGGGCAGGACAGGTTGTGCAGGGTGTGGTGGGCCTCAGGGAGGACTTGGGCTTCTACCTGGGGTGGTGGGAGCCCTGGAGGGCTGTGGGCAGAGGGCAGGACGGGACTCAGGTGCTCACTGGTGTCCTCTGGTGGCCACTGTGGGGAGGACAGACTGGAGGGTGAGAGTGGGAGGGATCAGAGTGGCCATGACGGCACCTGTCCGGGGGACCCATCATGGGGCTGGACCAGTGTGGAGGCCCGAGACGTGGTTAGAAGCATCCAGATTCTGGGTGTATGTTAAAGGTTAAGCCAGGATTTGCTGACAGCGTGCGCATGAGCGAGAGGGAGGAATCACGGATGACATCAAGATTTTTGAACCAAGGGGCGCCTGGGTGGCGCAGTCGGTTAAGCGTCCGACTTCAGCTCAGGTCACGATCTCGCGGTCCGTGAGTTCGAGCCCCGCGTCGGGCTCTGGGCTGATGGCTCGGAGCCTGGAGCCTGTTTCCGATTCTGTGTCTCCCTCTCTCTCTGCCCCTCCCCCGTTCATGCTCTGTCTCTCTCTGTCCCCAAAATAAATAAACGTTGAAAAAAAATTTAAAAAAAAAAAGATTTTTGAACCAAACCACTTGGAGGATGGGTGTTCTCCCCCTGAAGACTCCTTAGACCCCATTGACTCCATGCAGTAGGGCTTGGCATTACTTCCGATTTACAAATGCAGAAACTGAAACTCGAGAGAAGTAAAGCGAGTATCCCAAGGTCACACACAGCAAGAGTTGTCCTAGATGGGATTCAAACCCGGGCTGCCTCCAACCCTACGGCCTGTCTTATTTTGGGGACCAACTGTGTCTCTCCCTCCCAGAACTCCAGAACCTTCCCATTCTCCCTCACTCCTGTCTCCCATTGCCATGACAACGAAACCCAGTGTGTTAGTTTCCTACGGCTGCTCTAACAAATGACCACAAACTTGGTGGCTTCAAGCAACACAAGTTTATTGTTCTAGAGGTCAGAGGTCTGACATGAATCTCACGGGGCCAAAGTCAAGCTCCTTCTGGAGACTCCAGGGGAGAATCTGCTTCCTGGCCTTTTCCAGCTTCGAGGAGGGTCTGCCCGCACTCGGCGCTGGCGGATGCCTCCCCCACCTGCAACGCCAGCAAAGCTGGGTCGAGTCTTTCTTACACTGGATCCTTTGAACACCGAATGCTGTACTTCCCTCTTCACTGTTTAAGGACTCAGGAGGTCAGACTGGACCCATGCAGTCGATCCAGAATAATCTCTCCGTCTCATCAGCTGGTTGGTTAGCGACCCTAATTCCTCCGGCAAATTTACTTTCCCCTTTGCCGTGTAACATGACAAGTTCATGGGTTTAGAGGGATTTGGATGTGGGCATTTTGTGGGGGACACGCTCATTCTACCCACCATATCCAGTGAGGTCACAAGGGCCTCTGTGACCTCATCATGCTCTGGTACCCAAATTGACAAGGTGGCTCTCCCACATGGTTGCTGGGTTTTGAATCTGGGCGTCCTAACCCTCCAGCTGCATGGGAGCCCGACCCGAGGGGGCTCAGAAGCCTTGCTTGAGGGTCCAGGTCCTGTTTAAGAGGGTCAAGGCCTTACTCACCAAAGCCCCACCTCCAAGCCCACCCCCGCCCCCATCCCGGAACCCGGGCTGTACACACGTGTATGGGTATGTGTTTGGGCACGTCCGTGAAAATGACCTGGAGCATCTCCCATCACAGCAGGTGAGTTTGGGAACTGTAGGTCTACCAGCACCACCCGCCCCCCCAGCCTGGCCGCTGGGCTAGAAGGCCATGCTGCCTGCCCCCTCTGCATGACCCACTCCCCTCCGAGCGGACCTGCAGCCCCACCTTGAAGCAGTGGGGACCGGGGTGGGCCTTTCACCTGGAGGGCTTTCTGGAGATTCGAGGAAAGAGCTCCGACCTGGCTCATAGTGTGGGTGGGAGCTGGGTCTGCCCTGCAGGTGCTGGACACAGGAGAGCAGCTGATGGTCCCCGTGGATGTCCTCGAAGTGGATAGCGAGGGGGGCCTCTGGAAGTTTCTGCTCTCAGGAGCCATGGCAGGCGCGGTATCCCGCACTGGCACGGCCCCTCTGGACCGAGCCAAGGTGTATATGCAGGTGAGCGTAGAGTGCGGCGCGGGAGCCCTCGGGGTGGGGTTGGACGGAGGTGGAGAGGAGAGAGCCAGAGGGAGAGAGATGATGGAGG